AGAGAACAAATTTACTCGAAATGCTCGAAGAAAATACCTGCAGGATAGTGATGAAAAAAAAAAATCATTGTATATTATAGAAAATTAAAAATTACCATATTGTTTTCCATATAAACAGCACTGCAGTATTATGAATTATTATCGTTTTGTTCCTCGTAATGATTATTTTATATTATTATAACATCAGTTAATTTGTGTTCCAGAAATGTTCGATTAATCGTTATCTGTTTTCATACTATCATATGTACCTAACCTCAATTTATATCCAATACGGAAACATGTTGTATGTCTCTTTAAAAACGACACCGCACCCAATATTATTATAATTTATGATTTAAACATACGTATTATGTTATACGCAAATCAAAATGTAATAATAATTATAATACTAATGTCTTAAAAAAGCAGTTGTTGTTTTCATATCCGACGTGAAACTCGGAAATAAACAATACCGATGCATGTCAGTTTTTTTTTAAAAACTGTTGGCAATCTATAAAAAAAAATGGTTCGAGTAAAGCAGCACCGTGTACGGAAATCTCGCATCGGGTATGCTACATGAAAAATTTGAGAATTTGTATCAACCGAAGTGTTCATCGAAAAAACCACATCTTGGTAAAACTAATAGCATCTTCGCTACACTCAGAATCAAACATCGCCATACTATAACGTTACGTGTGTCCAGTATTATAGGTAGACTGAAAATATAATAGGTAAAGATAATTAGATTTTTTAGATTTTACACAGATTTATATTTACACAATAAATACATAAGTATTAAATATTATGTTTCCATTAAAAATCGTTGTCGTTCTCGTATAACCTCTTAAAGGAAATTATTACAAAATTACTACGAGGTAATTGAAAAAATAATAACTATGTATACGCGCGGTATATAAGTGTAAATAAAAAAAAAAAACTTTTCGTATATAACCGAGTCTTCATGGTGGTCTATACAAGTGCGACACTATAATATTATCTACAATTTTATACTTGAAAAAAAAAAATGATTTTGAAACAGAGTTCAAAGTACCTATACGTGTAATATCTTGAATAAGACGTAGAAAGAGTTGCAATATCTATGTACAGGTATGTGAAAAAAAAACGTTGTACGATTGAAAAATTCCATGTAAAATATGTGATGACAAATTGGACGAATTTTACATGAAAATATTTAAGTCAATTATGGCCATTTTCGGTTTACACATCAATTCTATGTGAAATTCCAAAACATGTTGAATGATATCGATATGTATACTTGCATCACTGTAATTTATAGAGGTGTAGGTTTGTTATCAAACAATATTATTAAACGTGTTTGTTAATAACTTGGGAATGTAATACTTTATGAAATCTTAACATGACTAAAAATTGTGGAATTTGCATATTTTTCAATAATCGTTGAAAACATAGCTATGTAATATATAGGCATAGAAATTAAAATGTATTTTGAAGTTTAAGGCAATTTGTTTTATTTTGCATATTTTACATATTTAGCTCTTTTTACATATAAGTTGCATATTTTAGATTCTGAGGATCAAAGAAATTTATGGTTTTAAAATGAGGTTTATTTTATTTTTAATTTTTTTATCTGTCCACAAATTTTCTACCAGTAATTTTGCTCTGTTTTATAATGATACCAAATTTCTAAAAGGAAATCTGACTGGAGAGGTACTTAAGATAGGTCATTTTTTGGTTTTCCCAAGAGTTTTTCCAATAAATTGGAAAAACCAGGAAAATATACGAAATGTAGGTATTAGTTAAAAAATATTACAGTATTTTTTTTCGAGGACAACTTGTCTACCAGTAATTTTGCTTTATTTTTTAATGATAGCAATTTTTATAAAAAGGAAATTTCACTAGGTGAGGTACTTTAGAGATGTCGTTTTTCGGTGTTTTCTCAGCAAATTTGAAAAATTGGGAAAAACATGGGAAAACCTAGAAAAACGTAGGGAAACAAAGGAAATCGGTACAACATTAAATAAATATTATTAAAGAAAATATATAATGCCTATATGTAAATATTTTACCATAATATGGCATATATATTGTTGACAAAGCAACTACACTTTCAACCGAACTCCGCTCAGAATCGTATTTTCGTTAGCAATGGTTTATCCTTGTTCACAGATATAAATTAAATTTCTGTTTATTCCCTACCTTTCCAACTTCACACCTATATAACAGTGGCTATCGTGCGAAGTTGCCCGGCTTTTGTTATATTTGTAATTTAAGTGTATTTATCACTTAATATTATACGCTATTTATTCTACACTATTTTTGAAATTAGAAAAAAAAGTCAATTAAAATGATTAAATATTATTTGATAGGTTTTTCAAATTATAAAATAATAGGTACCGTGCGTTTTCCCCAAAGAAGAATGATTTGAAAGAAAAATAAATACATTTTCGTTTAAAGTTTTAAATTGTTTGGTTTCTAATGAGAAAATAACATATTTTTAAGAACGCATTAAAGCATTTTTTCATATTATTAAGGCATATTTTATAAATGTATATGGCATAGGGTTATGTATTTTTAAAGGTTTTTAATGCATGAAATCTCTAGCCTTAGTCATATGTAATCAAAATTGTCTCAGATTTCATATCTGTGATTTTGCATTATCATGTGTTGTTATAAACATACTCACATATGAATATTCAATAGGTATTATTCCGTGGTTTTATCTGTGTAAATATTAATTATACGAATAATATATTTCTGTAATATGATCCTTTGATTTAGCTATATACCAGCACCACAACATAATTGTATGTTCCTTATGATTATGTATACGGGTATTTCATAACTGTTCTTCAGACCCGTGTAAATTTCCTTAAAAGGCTGCTGTACACGAGTATTTCTGTAGTAGAAGTTAATTCGATTGCTTATATTATATCGTTGACGATTTCAAACGCGTACGTAACGGACGCATGAAATCGTTACAAAAAAATGTGCAAACATATGGTAATAAATAATTGTCTTATTGACACAATCGTTTTATTTATTATACATTTTTAAACGAAAAAAAAATGACGTCAAAAATTATTATTAAAAACGCGTATCGAGGTCGAAATCGTAATTTTTAAGTAGTGTTCTATTACATATTGGAAAATAATTCACGTACAACTGAATTGGATGGCCGATGCGCGACGTCGGCTGTCAGGATCGCGTAAGCCATACAGTATTACACTGTGTGTATGTGTGTGTGTGTTGCGAGAATTCGATAATTTTTGAATATGTATAGGTATTTCGCATCCGTGCATGGGCCACTGTTTTTGGTGGCAGTTAATATGCTAATTGAGCTGGCCTAGGATATGTATAGGGCAATCAAGATAATATCTGTACACAACGATACATTGTTGGAAAATCGTGCTAAAATAAAATAAATAACTCTAGAATATTTTGAAAATGATCTCATATTATAGAAAATATTATATCAATTCAGTGAAAATGTTAAGTCTTTAGGATTATTGTTTAATGAATTACAACAACAAATAATAAGATCGAAAATAACAGAACTCGTTATTTTGTAAATATTTCCGTTTTCGCGACTTTTCATACAAGAAATAGCCTACCAATAGACAGCAACTAAAAACGATTCACTTATATAATTGATGTGTTGCCTCGGTGTGTTGCAAAAGATTGGAGCCAAGATTTTTGATAGAAATTATAAGTCAGATAGAAAAAAAAAAACAAAAACAAAAGCATACATAATAATATTGATTACTAATCAATGATAATGTCAACACGAATAATTATTGAAATTGTACCGCTCTAAAATTTAGTGTTCTAAATTTCAAGTTCTAAGTAGAGCTATTATGGTTTTAGATTTTAAAAACGAGAAACTACCTATATTGGTTTTACTATAATGTGAGTGTTTTTTTTTCTGCACTAAGATTAACTTTTCCACCAAAAATCTTGTTTCAAAATATCAAGTGTAGTACTTTTTTTGAATGGAAATATTATCTAACTGATGGATTGGGGAAGTCATTTTTTGATTTTCAAAGGGATTTTTAAAATAATTAGGAAAAATCCCGAAAGAAAATTATATGTTGAACGGTAAATATTTACGGCTCATCACGGCATTACCGATTTCATTATTTTTCATTATTTCTGTACACGATGTTTTCTACTGGAAATATTGCTCCAGCCAAAAAATTTGTTTTCTTTTAATGAATATAGACAGAAAAAATATTGTCTTATTACCATAGTGGAAAAATATGATTAATAATACTCCGTTCAGAACCATTTTTCTTTACATACGGATTTTAATTAAATTACAGTATATTTTATCCTTCCTTTCCAATTTTACTTCTAAAACAGAAGCACCGTAAACCCATTAGCCTCTGCAGTATATCAGTCATTTTTTTATTTTTTGACTAAGATGTGTGCTTTTCCATCGGCAAACGATTATTCGATGAGTTCCTGAATACGGTCAATGGTTTTCAATAATAATTTCAATTTGGAAAATCTCGAATGTTGCGATAAAAATATTATTATTTATATTATTGTTGTTGTTGTTGTTGTTGTTGTTGTTGTTGTTGCTGTAGCTCGGTGTATATTACAACAATATTATCGGTACGTTTAATAAACGAACGGAAGGGGCGTGCACACGCGCGACCGCTACGTATGGTTGAGGGGAGATCGAGGGGCGCGGCGGGAGGAGAGAAAAATATTATTATTATTATTATTATACCACAGTACCTATAATATATATATATATATATATATGTATTTTGTTATATAGTTGCGTGTATATTCTCGTATATAATATGTGCACGTTCACCGACAATAAATATTGGTTAACGATGTTTGTCGGCGCCAAAAGGCAGAAAACACGACAAAATGGCGGCGACCGCCTCTCTTTGATGATCGACCGGCCGCCGCCGCCGCCACCGCCGACCTCTAACTAATCAAGACATTATTACAAACACCTATAGTATACCGCGCGCTACGGCCAGCCGCCGCGCCGTCGCGAGGGGCACATCCCCGACCGCGCTACACACCCATGAACATCGTATTATAATATATACAGGGTGATCAATCTAGCGCGAGACACATAACTACTATAATATTGTATTATGTTGTATTATCTCGGAAAATGTAATACACAAGAAACAACGAGCGGTTCGAAAAAAAAAAATATTTTGATGTCTCTAGATAGTTTCAAACGTCATCATAATATTAATACTTCTGTTTTAGATTCTTTGTGAAGCGAGAAATGTGTTGGTCTTACTACGATGAGTTTTCTTTTTTCTTTAGTATCTATAAACAACTTTTATACCGGAAATCTTATCGTAATCCAAAACGTTTTGAACTTACATGTAGTGTTTCTGATCTAGTTGGTGCAACAATCCGATAATTTTTTATTTTCTTTGCAGTTTTCTTAATAAATTAGAAAAACTAGCAATTATTTGTACAGTTTTTATCGATTTCTGGATTGATATAGTTTAATAATAATTATTTTTGAAATAGACGCTTAATAATAAACTATTCGGAAATGTTTTTCATTGGTAATAGTTTATTGATACGTATAGATATAAATTAAATTACTCGATATATCGTTCTTTCTAACATCTAACCTAAAGCAGTGGCACACCCTTCAGCAGTATTTGCCTATTTTCAAAATATTTTAGATTTTTGGCGAGATACAGTTTTGTCAAAAGTAAATATTATGGGTTAGGACATGATATAAAAAGAGCCTTGTGGTAGCTTCCAGTAGTCATTAATAAAATTACTTTACTAGTAAATATTACTTAGAGATTACCAGCTACAATGCTGGTGTTTATTCTTTATGGATAAAGTCGACATAATATCTCCCATGGTTATTTAAATAATTTTAAAATATATAATAAAGAATTAGTGCGAGTGGAAACCATAATTATTTTATTATGTATAGATAAAATTATTAATGTTCAGCGTTAGTAAGTTATCATAGCATCTGGAAAAATAAAAAAAACAGCGACTCACAAATCAAACTATAAACTGACGATTATGAACATGGATTAAAAACAAAAAATGTCCAACCGTAAAATCCATAAAAACAAAAACAGTTAGTTTTACTAATAATATTTGTGGATGAATGTATATAGTAATATAGTATGTATATTGTATAATATACGTATTATATCGTATGAAAATTAAAAAGATTCGCGGTTTTAGCTCTCTTCCCAACACCAAGGGCGATAAATATAACAATGGAATGGTTTAGATCGGCTTATCTCTAATATAATAAATATATTTTTTTCCCAAAAAAAAATACCGAAAAATGGTTATATATTTACTTTCAAAAATAATGAAGACGCTGTCTTTCAACGCTGTATATTGATCGCCCTGTATATTATTATATACACACACGTCGCCAGACCGTTTTAGTCGACGCCGCCACCGTTGCCGCTTGATGAAGTCATTATTATTATTATTACTATTGGGTTCGTACATATAATTATTATTTTAATCGCGCCGTCAGATCCGTTGCAGAAGAACAAGATGCAGTGCACACGTAAAAAATAATAATAGGAATATTTGGCCAGGGTCATGATTCAGTGGCATATCCACGGGACGGGAGGGGAACTAAGGAGCTTCAGTCTACCTCTCATTGGCTGTGTTAAAAAGCAACAAAAAATAAAATAGAATATCTCCCTCCAACTTATATAATTTTTAACACTATATATTTTTTTATTTTATAATTTTATTATATAATATGTTTTTTTGTTATGTGTCTAAACAATATATTTCTACCAGAAATCTTGCTCCAATCAAAAACTTTTTAGGAACCTAACTTTTTCGAATATTCGATGTTATTGGTACATTGCGATATATTTTTCGATTTTCATTGTAGTTATTTTTTAATAAATAGCTAAATCGGAAATTTGTCGCATATTTTTTGTCAATTTCTAGTAACTTTAGCAAAAAGGTAAAAAAACCTGACTATAATAATATTTTATAGTTTAATAATTAAATAGGCTTTAAATGTTTTCTTTAATAATGTTTGTTTCATGTTGTACCGGTTTTGCTCAATGTTTCTTCGTTTGCACAACAAGATTTCTGGTAGAAAAGTTTGCACAACAAATCGAGAGGTATTTTTCGATTAAAATAGCCCGAGTAAGCGATAGCTGGGTCTCTAAGTAAAACTAAAATAAACTTTTTTTTTCCCTGTTTAAGTAAAAGGGAAAAATAAGTGGAAACAATTTTTTTTCGAAATATGGATTTGAAACTCGAGACTCCTAGGATGACAACAGGTATGTGACACAGCGTGGATAGTAATGACAGTAATTAACCGTGTGAAAATATGCTTGCCAGTGTTTACATTGAGGGTGAGTGAGCATTTTCCTTGGGAGTTCAATTTTAGATTCTGAGAGAGTTTATGATTTTACAAAGATGTTCATATTTTTATTTTTGTATTTTTATCTGTGTACAACTTTTCTACCAGAAAACTTGCTTGGATTTCTACGATCTTTTCTGAAAGGAAATCGACGTGAAGTGATACTTTTAAGAATTAATTTTTTGAATTTTCTCCAGAGTTTTCTCACCAAATTTGAAAAATCTAAAAAAAAAAACGCGAAAATGTACAAAATATATTACTAAAATATTACGATTTTTTTTTCCTATACACAACTTTTCTTCCAGCAATTTTGCTCCAAAATTCAATGACAGCAATGTTTTTAAAAGTAAATTTTACTAGCTAGGTATTTTAAATAGGCCATTTTTCGATTTTCCCAAGAATTTTCTCAGCAAATGTGAAAAACCGGAATAAAACATAGGAAAACTGGGAAAAACGTAGACAGAATAAGAAAATCGTTAATAAATTAAATATTCTTAAAGAAAAAATATAAAGCCTATTTAATTATCTTACATATAAAATTCTCTAATCACAGTTTTTGTTATTGAACTCTTCCGAAACGGCTTGACCGATTTTTATGAAATGTTTAGTGTATATTTGATTGCTCTGAGAATAGGTCGTAAAGTATTTTACACCCTTCAACCTCCATCCGCTTTTATATATATACACGAGCAACACCAAATAATTTAGCTAATTATATAATAAATACAATTATTTTTTTGTTGATTTGTGTTACCGCGGTAACAGGGATGGAAAAAAAAATGTTGATTAATTATTATTAGATATTAGTCGGAAAATATCATGTGAACATCAATATCGGTCCAGCCGTTCTTGAGTTATAAATGGTGTAACTAACCCGACTTTGTTTTATTTACATAAGATTTTTATTTATTCAAGGGTTGCTACGGAAAAGAAAACTATTATAATTATTATTATTACTATTATTTACACTATTCAAATTTCACAATAAAAAACATTTAATCCGTCGAAGGTGGACTACTCACTTTCCACCTATTATTTTTCATTTAATTCTAACATGGCCAAAACAGAAAATGAATATAGGTAAAATAATAACACAAAGTGGCTCGGGCAACGCTGAGCACGGGACAGTTAGTTTTACTATAAGATTACATTTATATTGTAGACGAAGCATCAATATCAACTGAACTCCGCTCAGAATTGTTTTTATTGTAAGGAATGGTTTATTATTACTTACAGTTATACATTAAATTATTCATAATGATGGCTGCACCCGTCCCCATTATATTTTTTTTTTTTTTTTGTATGGAGAATCGAATCTTATTTCAGTATATCGTTGTTGTGATCGGAGATTGGTAGTTGATAGGTATGGGAAATCGTTGGCAATTAAATAGTTTATGACTAAACTATAATTTTATTTATTATCAGTGCGCATGACCAGATATTTTGAGGTAGATTTGAAATAAATACATGGTGGCCGAATAAGTTCTAATAAATGCTTAGTGAGCGTAAGATAACAGTATTCATTACGTACGTTAATGGGTGGTGCGATGAAGTGCGTTTTATCCGGAGTAAATATCTGACTATTAAAATGTGAGTTTAGGCAGTCATCCTGAATATCATCATGAAGTTGCCGCCCCTCAATTTGTCCGATCGACTATAAAATACCACCAAATAAATGCATATCGAGTTTATGTTATAGTTAAGAAATTACTATGTTAATTTAACTTAATTTTAATATAAATTGTTTTTTTTTCTATAATATGTATATATGTTAGTAGTATGATTAGGTAAATATATAAAATTCAAAAAGTATAATTATGTTATATTTAGTGTTAAAACATTTTCAATTTTCTTTGTTTGAAATTAAATGTGAAATAAATTTAATATCGAGCTATCCCTGGTTCAAAAATTGTAAAATTCGTAAAAAATATAAAAAAAGATTTTTAATTAGTGAAACTCGATTTGTAATTATTCGGTGGTATTTTGAAGTCAATCGGATAAAGTGGGGGGGTTACATGAAGTTGGCCCCCCAAAAAATGAATTTGATTTTATCAAAACGGGATGATTTGCAATAAGCGAACTTGATTTGTAATGATTGGCAATTAATTTGCAATTATTTGGTAGTATTTTGAAGTCAAACGGACAAAATGAGGGGGCCAACTTCATGACGGTGTCCTCAATAATAGTTGCTGGAGGAAGTGTTATAAACTCCTCTAATTCTTGGAACAGAATAGCATATTTTTTGGATGACGAAATGCTTAGTTATTTTCACCTCAATTTGGGGAGAGAGACTTGAACTTAAAAAATGCCGTTTAGAAAAAAAAGTTTTCGATGATGATGCGTCCGAGTTAGGCTCCATTGTTATTTTAGAACAAAATTATAAGGTTCTATATATAATAATAATAATAATAATAATAACAATAATAATAATAATAATAATAATAATAATAATCATAATAATAATAATAATAATAATAATAATAATAATAATAATAATAACAATAATAACAATAATAATAACAATCATAATAATAACAATAATAATATTAAGTTGATTTTTTTTTTCACTTTAGTTTTTATTATTATCGTGCACGTGCCTCCATTAATACAATGGCTAATTGTCACACATCGCCTACCGTCCCGAAAACTATATAGTTTGTCAGTCAATTTCTCGTTATGCTTCACTTTGCCGACGACGAGAACGATGTGACATTCCAATTGCATGTTTTCATCCATACCAAATAATAGAAAGATGTTAACGGCTTTGTATATTCAAATAACTTATTAATAGTTAAACAATTAAAACCATTATATCTTTTTTTTTTTGGTAATTACTTTCAAAAATAATAATAAAGCTAATACTGATGATGGGTGAGAAGGTAAAATATAGAATTCAAAATGTTATTTAGTTAA